CATTGAAAGTTACTTGCAAATAAGATTATCATTAAGAATATGCTAATAAAATGTCAATAAAATAAAATTTATTCCTGTGTTTTCTAATTTAAAAATATTAAAAACTAGTTTTTTTTTCCAGTCGACGTCTAACCAATAATTATCCAATTAGCCAATCTATTACCAATTGGCTAGTCATCTATTGCTAAATGCTAATTATTATTAATTATAATATATTAATATTATTAATATTACAGTGATAATCATTGACTTTTAAATATCAAGTATTAATTATTAAATATTATCTAATAATTATTTTTATTAATTCATGATTAATAACGCTCAAATTTACTATTAATTTTTTTTATAATAAATTTACTATCAATTTATTATTAATTTCTTATAATTCTTTAATAATATTTTTCCTGAGGATAAGTGTTATCATTTGAAACTGAAAATTACTTTGTCTCAATATTCACATATATGTAAAATATTCTCGAAAATTTTATTTTCAAATATATCCACATTGTTATAAAATATATTTCTTAAACTTTTCTAAAAATGACTTAAATAATTTTTATGTATCATATTTCGAAAATTAAAATTAATTAAAAATACGTTTAATTATCGTATAATCCAATTTTAATATTAAATCCAATTTTGTAACTAATAAATAATTCAATTTTACGTAAAATCCAATAATAATGCAGTTATTTATCACCTGAACGAATGAAACAATTACGTTCCAATAATTAAAAAACCACGACCATTTGGAAATTTACCATCAGATTGTGAAATAGGGTAAGTCACTTCCTTCACCCCTGTCCTTGTCGCTCGTTTTGTCGCTCGTTTTGTCGCTCGTTTTGTCGCGGATATGATCTCTTTTCGGTATCACTCGCCAGAACTTTCACCACCAAAGATTTCTCGATAAAAGTTGTTAACAGTGCGATTATATCCGGTTTTGAATCGTACCACTGAGTTTTTCACGCTTCTTAACTCGTAATTGTGTTATTATCTTTCTTTTTATGATTATTTTCGAAATTGAAATTAAACTTTGATTGTATAATTTTAAAAATTGTTTCTATTTTTCTGTGATCATTTTGGAAATTGTAATCATTTATTCTTATTTGTCAATTTATCGATTTAAAAAATTATAAAAAAATTATCTTTACATCTTATCACTTTGTCATGTATGATAAAATTCGAAATTAAAAATTTTGAAATGAATAAAAAAATAAGAAATCTTGGTAAATATATCTATATTTTTTATATTATTATTATTTAATGAAATTTTATATTTTTAAACAGAAAGTTAAAGATAATCGGGCATAATCTTACCAATTATCAATTAAAATTCTTCTTTTTCAAAAAATGAACTTGAAAAACGAATAAAAAGAAATACAATTTAAATTCCTTTATAAAATATAAATATAATTCATTGACAATATTCCAAAATATTTCAAAATTATCACAATTTTTCTTATAATTATTCCATTAATTTCATAATTAATATTATATTATTATTAATCTTCTTTTCGAAATTTCGAATTTAAGAAAATAAATTCTAGAAATTTATAATAAATTTATAATTTTTATAATAAAATTGAAAAGTTTTCACTAAGTCTTAGAACAGAGATAAATTCACTTTTCAATCGCGATGCTCGCGCCACCACGTTCGATCATCGACTGAGCCGATGATCGTGAATCAAGTCAAAACGAAGATCGAACAAATCGAGAGAGAATTCCTTCGAGTGTCGCGATCTCTTTAGTCACGGTCACGTAGTTGAGTTGTAAGATTGCAGAATTTCAACCGACTTGTTGATAATCAGCTGCTTAAATACATCTGTGTCGAAAGAGGTTAACGACGCATGGGTAAATCCCGCCATTTTTTTAATATCATTACCTATGAATTAGTGTCACGTAAAAAAAATGTGATGCTGTTTCGGGAAAATTGAAGATATTATATCTATTAATATGACATGTATTCTTTTGTTAAAATAAGTTACAGTGATAGATTATATCGTGTAATAAATTAGTGTCACGTACTTTTCAAGGAAAATGTATAGTTGTTTACGAAAAATTGAAAAATTGATTATTGTTTTATATGAAGATGAGTATATTTATTTCTTTCGTTAAAATAAATTTAAAATCAATTATACTAAATTAATATTAAAATAAATTATTGTAATAATGAATTAATGCCGTATCTTTAAAAAAAATATCTATTTAAAGAACAAAAGATTATTTATGTTAGTTTATACTAGTTTCGAATATATTTTTTAATAAAAATAGTTTAATATCTCAAATAAATTATAATAAATTAGATCTTGACTGGAATTCTGCTTAATTGGCTATTGTTCTAGTATCTATTATTTAATTGTAATATTGTTACGATTATCGTTCATACTTTCTTTTCTTCTTTTATGATTTCAAGGCCAGTTTCCAGTCATTTTTAATTTATATTTTCATAATTTTTGTTATTAATTTATATAATAAATATATTTTACTACTCGAAAAAATCAGAGATAATAGATAATAAATATAAATAAAATCTGAGATATTTTTATAATTTTATAATTGAATGTTTTTATGTAGCTATATATCATAATATGATTAATTTAATCTTTTAAATAATCGATACTTTTATTAACATTTTTCTTCTGTGTGATTTTTAGAAATGTCTAATTTTTGCGAATAGAAAATATTGTTATCTTTAAATTTGATAAATCACAAAATGATAAATCTGAAACAATTGATATATTATTTTTCAAATTAAGATTAATAGAATTTTTTTTATTGATTACTATTTATGGATTGAAAATTAGTCGCGAAATAGAAATTGCGTATTCTCGGTTTTTAAAATAAAATTCTCACATTGCGATTATTATATTGTTTCATCAATCGAACTTAAATCATGTTTTATTATCATGTTTTTCAATCAATTATTCGTTATCTGTTATTTTAGTGCCTATTATTATCTATAATTATTAGTTGTACTTTATATAATGTATATTTATATCTATATTTATATTTATTAGAGAGATTTTAAAAATAGATAGAAAATTGAATACAGCGTGTAAAAATATGTAAAATGTCAAGTGTTCAAGATAAAATGTTTGAAGAATGAAATAAATTTTTATTTATATTCAATTTTTTTAGATATCTGCAAAAAAATATAAAAATGTAGAGAACAGATATGATATACAAAAATATCTAAAATTTTATTTAAAAAAACTTAAAACTTGCATAAATATAATATGTAAAAATAATTAAAATATATAATGAGTGCAATATATATTTATTATTATTATATTCTTGTATATATAAAATATATGTAGAAAAATAAAATAAACTTGTAAAAAAATAGAACAAATACAATATGAAAAATGAAAAATAATAGAGATACACAGTAGAGATAATAATTTGAAAAAATATTCAAAATATTTAAAGAATTATTTGAAGAATGAAACAAGATCTTTATTGTTTTACAAAGATGTAAATTTGTAAATTTTACAAACTACAATATTTTGCAAATACAAGATAAACATAAATAAAACATTCAATAAATATTTAAAAAACGAAGAAACAAATCTTAATATATATTTCATTTTTATAAATATATGTAGAAAATTATAAATTTGAAAAAAAATGTACAAAATATAATATCTAAAATATTTAAAAAATTAAATAAATCTTTATTCATACTTATTCATATGTACACGTATATAAAATACGTGTATATAAAATATCCTGTACATCCTGTACACATGTATATAAAAATGTAAATTTACACAAGCATTCTCAGTTTAATTAATTTGAAATTCCAATATAATGATTCAACACATAATTAGTAAATATCTATTACGTTTTATGTCTATATTCATAGATTGAATTCAACTAAGATTCCTTATCTAACCGCAATAATGATCCTATTACATTTTTCTTAATGTCAATAAACTGATAATATCCAGCAATAAATTTTCTCTTTCCTTTAAAATATATGAATAATATTATACATTTACTAACACATTTTCCAACAATAATTTACTTGATTATGATGAATGAATACAAATATTTTGCATCAGTAATTTGATAAAAGAATTTTTTAAGCAAATGATCATTTATAAGTTTTGCTCATAGATAAACGCAAGAACAAAATGATGATTGTATGTACATATGTAACACATAAATTAACAGATAAGCACTTCTGCATAAATTTCCTATTATTCATTAACTATGATTTCATAATTATAATTTATTTAATTCCATGGATTGTTTTTACAATCCTAAATTCTGCGTTTCTCAGGAAATTTTTCTTTCTTGTCTTTTTCTTAAGAGATTTATTATATAATATAAAGAAAATTCAGTAAATTTATGTATTTTCTTAAGATTTTGACAAGTAATTTATCTATTTTTGATTTCTAAAGAATATTGATTTCACAGTTTTTGTGATTTATAATTTATAAAAGTTTTAACAATATTGCAATTTTTTTAATAATATTTTATAGAAATATAATATCATCTGCAAGAATATAAATTCAAATTGATTATATAAGTAAGTAATAGTATTTAAGAAATATAAAAGTAATACATCTATACAAAATTATTATTTAATTTGACAAATTTCTATTTGTATTGATTCGCTATATCTTTTTATTTCTATTATCCTTTTATTAACATTTATTTTAAAATTATTTAACAATCGTATATATTTCCTATTTTCTTTTACTGAGAATATTTTAAAAAAATTACAATTCTATAACAAGCATATCTATTTTTTTCTTTAAAAAGATAATTTGATAAAAAAAATATGTAAGAATTTTTTTATTCGAACTAATTTAATTTTATCATTTTATAAAATTTAAAAAAAATTTATTATTATATTATAGATGTACGAAATTTAAAAATTCCTTCATTTTAAAATAAAACAAAAATCAAGAATGAAAAAAATTGCGTATTTTTAATCGTTAAAAAGATATAAAATTTCAAAATTTTGTAATTTTTTTATTCTTGATTTTTAATTTAATCGAAGAATCATTCTTTGAATTGAATTTAAGTATTTTTTGATTTAATTTTAAACATTTCTTTCGCTTTTAAAACACGTTTATCGTATTGTTGTAGAATTGTGATGGAAAATATGATTGCGCAAACGAATTGAGGATTGGATTTTTATGGGTCGATTGCATGGATATTAGCCTCATTATTCGAATGTTGATGTCGCGTGCATTCACTTCTTGCTTGAAGAACTTCTGAAATTTGGTGGACATCACCCAAATGTTGCCATTATCGCGCTCTGCCCATCGAATTTCCGCGACGAACTGCAATTTTTCTGGTGTATAAGCTAAAATCCTAAAAAAAAAAAAAAAATGTTATCGTTATTTGAAAAATAAAAACAATTTCAAATTATCATTTGTCATTTTATTTTAAAAGATCTTTTTTGTTTCAGATTGTGAAATGATATTTCTAAGAATTCTGAAAAAATTAAAATTAAAATAAATTTAAAAAAAGATTCAATTCATCTTTACATTAATTTTATGATTACGAAAGAAAATAATTAATTCATCATTTTTATATACACAGAATATATCTTTTACATTAAAAGCTAATAATATATTATTCAATTTATGAAAATTTACATTTTAAATGTAAAATATAAAAAGAAAATTATCGAAATACTAATTACTTCAATTTGATTATAAAAGTCATTATCATTATGATAATTTTATAAATTATGGATATTGAAAAATAATTTATATAAAAACTGAATGCTTTAAAGAAATTCACCATTCAGACTTCTCATTATATAAACTGTTTATCTTCATGTATGTTATGTATGTTAATATTTGTTATGTGTGTTAATATATTTATGAGACATTTTTGAAGGATTGATTCTGAGAGACAACAACAACAAACACAAAAATCTCGATAGCTTGTTTATTTAGTTGCAAGCAATCATAAGCATTGCATTAAATATGAGACAGAGATTACGTCTTACCTTGTCCAACATAAATTGCTTATAATTTAATAAACAAGCCACAATCGACATTTTATGTAATATATCAATGTTTACACAATACATATACCTTAATAAATACCTTAATAAATAAAATTCTATGATAATTTTCAATATTTACCTTTGCTGATTCGTTTGTGGTTGCCATGAAGCGATCGCCATTTCCGTGAACGGAGCGAAAAGAATTGTGTCCTCACGAGGATCAACGGCCAGAGCGAGTCCTTGACTCGACTTTTTACCGACCAGAGTTACCGGCAGCTGTTCACCGAATGCTGGTGGACCCGCTTGAAGAGCCGTGGTTGGCACGCTGAACAAACGATCCGTGGCCAACGGTTGATAGTATAATGTTCCAAGTTTGGCGGAGAATGCTAGGCCAATGACACCGTCGAACAATTCAAACATGTCGCTTCCGATCTGCGAAATATATATATATATATGTAATTTAAAAAATAATCTAATAATTAATTTAATTGAAATTGAATAAAGCATCAAATTTTAATGCTGGTTCATCCGAAGATGTTGATTGTTGATGTTATTTCTTGAAAGAAATAAATATAAGTAATGTCCAGTTAACTGTCGCAGGGACAGTTAGATAGGAAGTCGAACGCGTCAGTAAATGTTTTCTGAGAATTGTTGGCAGTTTCTTTCTCGATTCCGTTTGTTTGAGAGAAAAGAAAGAGAAAGAAAGAGAGAAAAAGAGAAGTTTTTTTTTATAAGCGAGATAGAAAAAAAGTTTGTATTTTATTTTATGATGAAATTTGAGTCAAAAATTTTAAATTATTTTTTAACTTATTCCTTGGATGAGGAATTAATAAAATGATAAAAAAGCTCGAGAGATAATTTGTGATATTAAATTGTCCTTGGAAATAATTTAAGATTTTTTACAAGATTATCGTATCGTTTGTATCGCGTGTGGTTTTGGTATTTGGCTTTTCGCTTCCTTTTCGCTTCTCCACAACGCGTGAAACAGTCATCCCACCGTGAAATTCCTCGCGATTTTCTAGACAGTAAAGCGACCAATGTAAAAAAACAAAGCAAAATCGAGGCGTAAAATTGACCTGCGTAAATATTCGTTGCACACAAAGAAATAAACCGTAAAATACATCGCAGAAGAATTATTATTTGCTCTGTTCAGATCCCATGTAATTTTTGAATTTTCATTATCATTTGCCTGTCCATTTTATATTTTAAATGAAAAAAAAAAATTTTTATTATCATGAAAAGTATGTAATTTATATTGAAGTCATCAATTTAAATATTTTTATTAGCAGTGAATATTTATTTTCCATTATTGTTGATTTTGAATGATCTTGAATGATCTTTAATTATATATCATTGCATTCGTTTTGAAAAATTTAATCAAAAAGTAAATAAATATATATATCGTTCCATTTAAAGAAAGTAATTGATCTTTAATATTTTTTATTTATAAGTAATTATAAAAAAACTTTTTAAGATTGTGCATTTCTCGAAGAAAGACTTTAATCTGTTAAAATCTTGAAATATTGATATTTCATATTATTTATTACATCATCTGTTCGATTTTTAAAATTAAATTTAATTTATTTAACAAGAATTAGCAAAATAAGTCAAATTGATTATGAATTTTTTTGTTCTTCCAATTATTTAAAAAATTAATAATATTTTAAAAAAATTATAAATAAAATAAAAAATGAAAAATTAAAAATAAAATATTTTTAAAAAATTAATAATATTATTTTAAATATTAATAATATAAATAATAATAAGATAAATATTAATTTTTTTTATTCAAACAAACATAATTATATATGTCTAATTATTTTCATAATAATATCCACACTATAGTCGTTTGTATATAATATTTTTAAATAAATATTATAGATTAGAAGATCTAATATCGATTGATCATATTTCAAAATAAAAAAAAAAAATAGAATAATAGAAAGAATAGAAAAATTCGATAAGAATCTTACTCGATAAGTGGAAAAATCTGGATGAGGATACATGCTCGCATGCAAAATTCGCCAGCTTCTATCCGTTGCGCCATCGAATACAATTATACCTTGAAGAAAAAAGGAACAATGAATGTTATAAAAATAATAATAATAAATAGAAAAAAAATAAAATAAATGTAAAAAAAAATATAATTAATTCTCAATTACCGGGACCTGTAGTGTCACTTATGTAAAGAAACATGTCGTCACAGGTAGTTGCTGAGGTATCATCGAGAATCAGATTGGTCAGCAACGTATTGGGTCTTAGAGACTATATAAAGAAAATTAATTATTCTATACTCCGAATAAAATTCCAAACACTAAGTAAATCTCGAAAAATTGATCAATTGAACAATATCAACCAGCTATTTAAAATAATCTTATATAATATATATAACAAAAAAATTTTCGATGCCTTTTATAAAATTTTTGGATGAAAACGAAAAAAACTATGTATAATATATCAAGAATAATTTTTCCAAATTTTCTTATTATTACAAAAACGATCACAAAAATGATCAAGGACACACCTCGCGTGGAAAAGTATACTGTCGCACTAATTGATCGGTCTTTAGATCGAACACCATTATCTTCGGTTGACAAACCGGTCTAAAGTCATCGATCGACGTCATTACGCCACTGTCAATGACCCACAATCGGTTACACCTGTCCAACTTCATTCTGTACACGGAGATCAGCAACGAGCAATTTAAATCGCCTTTTCCCGCGCTGTGCCAGTCCCATGATGGATAAGCGTTTAATTGAGGGCTACTCTCCAATGGAAGATTTCTTGATATGTAGTTCAAGGTCGCGGGGATGCCCGCTCGTAATCTTGGAACGCTGATGAATATCTTGTCCCAGCCCACCTCGATGCCAGTTGGAACCACGTTCTCGGGCCGATACTGATTAAGGAACTCTCGATCGTATGGAAGAGCAAAATCCAGAAGCGGCCATTGGACTATGGTTTCTAGGATTTCTGTGGCCGTTAAGGTGCAGAACAATCCTGAGAGAAGAAATAGATGCAGCATCTTCTGTAGTGGAAAGATAATAAAAAATTAATATATCTGTCTAATGTAACAGTGACGTTACATTACCCCCACTTCTAATGCTACGCCAAAATGTCGCGTCGTGTCACGTGACATGTCTCTGGTTAATTAGTAATGAAAATAGAAATACCTGATGTTACTATATATTTCTCATAGGGAATTCTATACTGTTTTATTTCTTATTTGAATACAAAGGCAATGAAAGAATAGAAATATTTATGGATTTATATGTTTATTGTTAATAATAAAATTATGATAATAGAATCATATTTAATTTAACTTAATTCGTTAAATATACACTATAATCTATATATTAAATGGATAATTTAATAATAAGTTGGAGAATTGATCGAAAATTGGGATTGAATTCTCATATTATATTGAATACGTCGCATTGTTTTCATTACTATTGCTATATTAAGCGAAAACAAAGGAATGTGATCTTTACGTGACGTATCTCTGTCTAATGTAACAATGACGTTACATTACCCCCACTTCTAATGCTACGCCAAAACCAAGCGTTGCATCGTGTCACGTGATATGTCTCTGGTTAATTAGTAATGAAAGTGGGGATACTTGTGATGTTACTATATTCTTCATAGGGAATTGTATACTGTTTTATTTTTTATTTGAATACAAAGGCAATGAGAGAATAGAAATATTTATGGATTTATGTGTTTATTGTTAATAATAAAATTATGATTAGAATCATATTTATGATTGTTAATTTAATTTAATTTGTTAAATATACATTATAATCCATATATTAAATGGATGTACATAAAGATTCAAAATCACGTTAATTGAAATTGGAATGTAAAGTATTTCATAAGTGTGAACTATTTTGATGATTATTTCCTTAATTATATAATATGTAGATTTTTTGTGAAAATAATTTATTGATATAAATAATGGAAAAAAAAATCAATATTGAAGAAATATTACTAATGATTAAATTTTCAAATTTGTAATAATAAAATTAAATTTGATTTAAAATTCTATTTATTAAAATATACTAATTAAAATACATTTCCATACTTATAAATAATAATTTAGAGAATTTCTTAGATAAGTTGTTGTGAATGAATTATGTATATAACCTTTTAAATAGTAATTATTTTAAACGGTAAAGATAATGATATTCGCATGTTCTGCAATTTAAAAAAACTAAAAATCCATTTAAACTCTTTAAACGAAATATATAATTTCTATTATCTTTTACAACAAATATTTTAACGTTTTAAACCTTTGTGTCTCTTTTACCACATTTTACGACAGATTATTTAACATTACAAAACTATTTATATTCCCATTCAAAAGTTGTCAGACGTACAATTTTTTATATAGCATCTAATCATTAATTATGTTCTAACCAGTCAATTTGACAATGAAATAATCTTTATTGTATTATTAAATCACTTTGTATTTGCAAGTGAAACGGTGTGAAAGTCACGAGTCAACGAATTTTCGATCTCGAATAAGAGATAATATTTAAATAAGTTTACGTGAACTGATCGATCGATCAAGCTTTGCATCGCACCGGAAACGCGTGCTTACGAACGCCACCTTCCGCGTATTTTGTAACAATCAACGATCATAATGCACGCGACACAATGAATGTTGAAACATGAGATCGATCAGCTGTTGAATGTCACGCGATTGTTTCGCTTCAAGTTTTTTTACCTTGAAAAATCATTTTCGAAATCGAATATTCGTCAAATTTCTTTTTTAATTATACACGTATTATTAATTTATTTTGTTGGGCTTTGATTTTTAAAAATTAAAGTTAGATTGGATTATAAGATCGAAAAATTATTTTCGAAACGAATATTTATCGGATCACATAATCAAAAATTTTATTTTTATTAACTTATTTATTGTTTCAATTATATTTTTGATTTAAAAATCATTAACAAATTTGATAAATTAAAAAATATATGCTATATTTATATGCTATATTTATATTGAAAACAAGTTTTTTTTAAATTATGTTATCACCGTATTTTCTTTTATTAGTTTGAAATTTAAAAAAAATTCTAAGAATTCAAATAATTCAAAGTTTGCAAAAAAGTAAAAGAAATTCTATTATAAATTATATTTAAATTATAATTATTAAATTTCATGATAATTTATCTGTGCGTTAATCAAACTTAATCTTGAAGTCAAATAATATAATAGTATATAATTATGTAAATACATAAGTATTTGCATAATAAGCAAGTTTTGCAACTTTGTATAGAATATCCACGCTTTTGGGATATAAATATTTTTTCGTATCGAATATCTTCTATTCCGAATTATTAATAAAAACCGAATGTGAAATTGAAATATTAGAAAATTGAGAAACGAATATGGAATGAAACAGGATTTTTAAATTAAACTATATAGATAAAATAAAATAAAATAAAATAAAACTTTCACGATACATCTTTGATAAAATTTATTTTTAATTACGATTTCAATTAGCGAAGCAGAACGTATCTGGAATTTTATACATCATTTTGTGAATTTGTTACATAGAAAATAAAAAAAAAAAATAATTAAAAATCGAAATGTGAATAATTATTTGCATATACAAGTAATATTCTTTCGTATCTATATCCTTTGAAAAAAATTATTGATATCGAGTAAGTCTTATCTGAAAAAGATTTGCAAACTTTAATAATAAAATTTGAAAAATTGTTTTCCAATTATCAATTATAAATTAATTATCTAAGCTAGGTATTTATTTAAGATGATCAGATCATTTGTGATTGTGATCAATTCATGATGATACAATTATTGACATAATCGATAAAAAACAGTTATAATCTTTTGAATCAACGAAGCGTGAACCAGCAATCTTAAATTATTTTATTTTTCAACAAATTCACGGCTTTAATCCTCATCTCTGGCGAGTGAAACATGAGTCTCAGATCGATCTTCGAATATCGCGTAATTCGAATACCTTACGAAGTTACAATTTTACGATCTTTATTCTTACGCAAGAAATTTCTTAACGAGAAATTCTCTTCCACAATCGAGCAAAAACAAAATGATCGTTGCTAGTGATTATTTTAATAAAATTGTCAAGTGTTGTTAAATGTGATAATATTTGATAGTAATAATAATAATATTCAATATTTAAAATAAATTATTTGTATAATTATATATGTATATATTATATTTACTATATGAAAAAATTTGATTTTTTAAATACAATATTATATTATTACATTATTATGTAAAAAGTAAAATTTTCATTGACTTCTAAAATTAATATTAAATTAATATAATGATTGTTTATATTAAAATTAATAACTACTTTTTTTATATAATACTTATTAATCGATACGATTTATTTAATTAAATTTATTTAATATAATTTAATAAATAAATTAAGATTATTAAAAATTTTGCATGTATTCAATTATTATTCAATAATCACAACCTGTACTTAATATGAGTTTAACATATACTATTATAATCTCGTTAAAAAATCTTAGAACATGTTGTATTTTAATATTATTTTGACGTATAAGTGTATGAAATTTTAAATATTATATATAATATTTTTATTAATACATCAACACATTATCCCTTTTTTATGTTATAAAGTTAATATATATTTATTATTTCATTTATTAAAATGATTAAAAGCAAATAATAATAGAGATTAAAAAAATTAAAAAAATTTATAAAAAACGTTATTTCAAAGATTGCTTGATTTTTTCCAATTTTCAAGGTGACATAACTGTCCTTGCACAACATAACACTTTTGAGCGAGGATGTAAAATCACTCGAATAAGAAAGCAAAAAAACTCATATTTCATAACACCTTAATAATAGAACAATTATTAGAGAAAGGAAAGGAATAAAAATGTTGGAGTGTCAGCCAAAAGAAAAAAAAAAATCAAAAAAGTGTCAATCACAAACAAATTATAAAAGATGCTAAAAGATAAATAAAGAACGAAAATAATAAACGTAAATCACGTAAAAAAAGGAATCAACCTTTAATCCAAAATTCGAACTCGAGGTAAGGATTAATCCTCTTTCGTGGAGAATCCAGCAAGATCCAGTTCCAACTAACTGCTCGTTCAAACGAACGTGTACCAAGTTCCGCTGTCTGAACACTGACTGATCTAATTTCCTTGCATCGGTTTGGATCCTACCGGTTCGAGAGACAGGAGGCAGAAAATCGACATATTGTGCAAGCATGCATAATATTGTCTTTGTCATGTTCAAGAGTAAAGTTCGATGAAATTTTCCTTTTTTTTTTTTTTTTTGCGAAAAAATTTAT